GAGAGATAGAGAGAGAGAGAGAGAGAGAGAGTGAGAGGGGGGGGGAAGGAGGGGAGAAGCGCGTGCTCGTAAGAAGATGCATTTCTAGAAAGAAAAGTTGCAAAATGCGAAAATATAAAATCCAACTCAGGTATCCGGGGGATCCTAAAGCGGATCAACCGCCAAACTTGCCGGACCTACGTCTCCGTCAACTCGAGCTCGCGCCGGTGGATCCCTATTCCCCGAAGATGATCAACATCGCAGGTGTGGTCTCGATCGTTCTGTTCTACCTGCTGATCTTGGGCGTGGGAATATGGGCGGCCAGGAAGAAGGAGGCTGGCAACGACTCCGAGGAGGAGGTGATGCTGGCTGGCCGCTCGATCGGACTCTTTGTAGGGATATTCACGATGACGGCGACCTGGGTCGGCGGCGGTTACATCAACGGCACCGCCGAAGCGATCTACACGAGGGGCCTGGTCTGGTGCCAGGCGCCCTTCGGATACGCCCTCAGCCTCGTTTTCGGTGAGTCCGCTCGATCTCGAGACTCCTCCACTTCCTCGTATATAATGATATAATAACGACGATTGTCGTGCGGCCGTTTAAGCGTTCACGCCGACTCGGCGCGCGACTTCCTCCCTAGACGTCTCGATGATTCTGTCGCAGGTGGTATTTTCTTCGCGAACAAAATGCGACAGCAGGGGTACGTGACAATGTTGGATCCGCTTCAAGACGCGTTCGGCGAGCGGATGGGCGGTCTCCTCTTTCTGCCCGCTCTTTGCGGCGAGGTGTTTTGGGCGGCAGGCATCCTCGCAGCCCTTGGCGCCACGCTGGCGGTCATCATCGACATGGATCAGGGCACCTCCGTCATTCTGAGCGCCTGCATCGCGGTTTTCTACACTCTCTTCGGCGGTCTCTATTCCGTCGCTTACACCGACGTCATTCAGCTCTTTTGCATATTCATCGGTCTGGTAAGCTCGCGAGATCGCTTCAACGTATACAACGCTCGACTTGTCAGACCTCCTTGTTTATTCATTATCATTATCGACACGTTTTCGTCAATCTCGCTCTCTCGTACCAAAAACTATTGACCGTTCGATAAGGTTACCAGCGTCAACTAACCAACTCTCTCTTACCTTTTACTCTCTTGCACATTTAAACTACAGTAAAATTCCGATAAATATCGCGGCGCGATGCTCGAGCCTCGATAACAGAGTATGACAGAGAGCTGATCGATATCGCGCGCGGTTCCGCGCGCTACTGCGAAGAACGTTACCAAATTTATACTCTACGTATACGTGCTGACCCACTTGCTCGCAAAGAACTCGTTATCGAGCTGCTGAACTACCGCGAAACTGTATCGAGGCGGTTCCCGTTGGCACACTGGCAGATTCGAAGACCCCGCGTCAAAAAGAGGTGATATTCTGGCGTATTGCTGGTATTACTATTGAGGGGATCTCTTTAGTAATTAGTTACGAGTCCTCTCGTATACGCGCGATTCTTTCATTCGACCGCCGCACCCGGCCTTTGATCCGAATGCAAACTCAGAAACTCCGTGACGAGACTGTCGTCCATTAACTTTGATTAGGAGCGATAGAGAATTGGACCTCTAAAAGATATCATCACGCTGCCGAAATGGATCTTTTATCTGGGAGGGGAATCCACGTCCGCGGCTACCATCGACCAGCGTGTAACAATTTATACAACATTTATATATACTTGCGACATACGCAAACACATTACACTTACGCACAGTTGGCATCGGGTCGTTCCTCCCTGATGAAGCAGACTGAAATGTTCGCGAAACGTCGGAATCAAACAAAGATGAATCCACACGGCTCACAAACCAGGAAACCAAATCTAACTTACGCACAGTTGGCATCGGGTCGTTCCTCCCTGATGAAGCAGACTGAAATGTTCGCGAAACGTCGGAATCAAACAAAGATGAATCCACACGGCTCACAAACCAGGAAACCAAATCTAACTTACGCACAGTTGGCATAATTGCGTATTTTTCTTAATACACTCTAGTATCATCGTTAGTGGCGAGAAATCCCTTTAGTAATTATTACTTCTTCTTGTACAGCTTTCCTAGCTACAAGCAAAAAGCTGAAGATGTTGATTGTAAAAAACAATGCTATATCTTTTGTCCGCAGTGGATGTGTATTCCGTTCGCTTGGGCCAATCCAAAGGTGCAGTCTCTCAGTTCCATGGACGTTGATTGGATCGGCAAGGTGGAACCTGAAGAGTATTGGTTTTACGTGGATTATGGTTTACTTTTGATATTTGGCGGCATACCTTGGCAAGTGTACTTCCAACGCGTTCTCTCCTCGAAAACCGCGGGGAGAGCTCAAATATTGAGTTACGTTGCCGCTATGGGTTGCATCCTCATGGCCATTCCTCCCGTCCTGATTGGAGCGATCGCCAAAGCAACTCGTAAGTGTCACGCATTTATTTATCGGCATTTTATTATCGGCCAATTATTTACGTGCTTCCAAGTACGATCCGTCAACTGCAACAGCGTAGTTATTGTGTAAATGTAAAATGCGCGATTCGACAAAGCTACGTTTCCGTTTATTTTTTTCGCCCAAAAGAAAAGTGAGAAGGAGGAAAGCGTTCATCTCACCCTTCCCCCTTCCTCCTCCCCAGCAATGAGAAGAAGAGAAACCCAATTTGGATACATTAATAAGGAAACGTACTATTACTTCGTCTCTGTTCCTCCTCCTCTCCGCTTCCATAACCTCCGTCTCGCTCCACGGAGGGTGCAGTAACGCGCTCCCGCTGCGCGTTTTTCACCCCTGCCTGAGAGGATCGAATTAGAACCCAGGTTGTCCGTCGTCCCACGCTCCTCGTCGTGTCCTCCACAAGACTACTTGACATTTGGTGGCACGGCAAAGAGAGAACTGCTGGTATTTACAAGCGACCGAACGAACAAAGATGGTAGACCGGCGAAGGGCGCGGGTGGATGATCGAGGGGTGCTCTCTCTCTCTCGGTGTTCCGCAACGTGTACAATAGCGTGGGACTTGGCCATGTGGCGTTGCCTTCACGAGGGCGAGGGTCGTAATGCGACTCGTTCGTCGAATAGCGAATGTGCGAATACGTTGCCGGAACAAATTCGGTATTCCGTATGTCGGTATGTTGCGAAAGAATCCTAGCTGGTCTGACAGAGAGAGGCAGGACTGAATTACCTCGAATAAGCGAACATGCATGAGATTATATATAGACAGGCACCTCCGTTACCTTTATCATCTTTGTCGCCTTTGCTGCACCAATGACCCGATATATCTATATTTCATGAGATAGGCTCTTGGACAAGCGCAATCTCCACTTTGGTATTACCGCGATTTTTATCCGCGATCGATGTTGTCCTTTAACAGCTCGCTCAAAAGAATCTTCTTTTTTTCTTGCCGTTGAGAAAATAGACGAGATCCAAAAGGGCACATAAACGAGCTATTGATCGTTATCGTCCGAAACGTGATTTTACGTGTTGCAGCTTGGAACGAAACAGGATACACTGGCGCTTATCCTTTCACGGAAAAGGAGACTAGCATGATCCTGCCGCTGGTTCTGCAATACTTGACACCAGACTTTGTTTCCTTTTTCGGGCTGGGTGCAGTATCAGCGGCAGTGATGTCCTCTGCGGATAGCAGCATTCTCTCCGCTAGTTCGATGTTCGCCAGAAATGTATACAAATTGATCTTCCGTCAGCGGGTGAGTTACTCTGGCATGCAGTCCTAGCTTTCGTTAATGCACACGGTGAAATGCCCCTCTTGTCTCAAGTATCGCTCGAACGTGTCGAAACATACTTTCGGCGCATTTCGACCGCATTTGCACGATATATATGGACGAGCTAACGAGCTCCAGGGAAAATTTGTCGATCATATTCCATCGCTCTTTGTGACTAGTCACAATTCCTTCTCTCCGTTTTCCTTTGTCGTATATTGCATTGTTGTTAGCCGTCGTCACGATCGACGAAATTTCCTGACCGCCGTGGGGGATGTGTTCTCCGTATCTCGTTGCAGGCGTCGGAGATGGAGATCATCTGGGTGATGCGAGCGGGGATTGGGGTGGTCGGCGTGTTGAGCACTGTGATGGCTCTCACGATACCGTCGATCTACGGCCTCTGGTCAATGTGCTCGGATCTGGTCTACGTGATCCTGTTCCCGCAGCTGCTGATGGTGGTGCACTTCAAAGATTACTGCAATACCTACGGCAGTCTGTCGGCATACATAATCGCCTTCGTGGTGCGCATCAGCGGCGGCGAACCGATGATGGGTCTGCCCGCATTGATTCGCTACCCGGGCTACGACGAAGAGTCAGCTACGCAGATGTTCCCGTTCAGAACGATGGCGATGTTAATGTCGCTCGTGACTCTCGTTGGCGTATCATGCGGCACACAGTTCGCCTTTCTGACCGGTCGACTGGCGCCGGGCTACGACGTCTTCAGATGCGTGGTCAATATCCCGGAGGACGTCGAACGAGTTGGCCCGGACCCCGCCGAAGGAGAGCAGATGGCGGTCCTAGCTGGAGGCGTCGGCAAGCTCTATGGCAGCAAGGACGAATCGAACGGCCGAGTGAATCCTGCGCTCGAGCCGGACTACGACATGGAGCCGGGATGTACGATGGTCGGAGCACCGGATGGTGTTGTCGCTGGCGGAGGTGGCGTTAACAGCGGCGGCGGCGGCGGCGGCGGCGGCGGCGGCGGCGGCGGCGGCGTAGGAGGCGCCGGAGGACACCTGGTACCGCACGTGCCCGGCGCACCTCGGCAACCACAATCCAGCACCGCGTTCTAACTCCTGGTTCCGTGATCGGATGCTGTGACCAACAATAAGTGTGGCGGTGCGGACCTCTGTATATTTCGTTCTATCCTCCGTCTCTCTTCTTCCTCCGATACTCCTCTTCTTCTCCCACGCTACGACGAGTACTTTGCGTTATCCCGGCTTTCTTTCGACTTTACTCCTCGTTGATGATAATGTTGCTGTTGATCTTTGATTAAAACCCATTATCGGATTTTCTTTTGTTCCTCAAGACGACTTGTAGATATATATGTATCGCGCGCCTCATTTTAGTTTCAACTTGAACGTTTTTATTCGCTACGGATTTTTTTACGAAATAACTGCCCCAGCTGAGGAATTTGCTGTTTTTTACCAGAAAGATATCTTATCGCGGATTGAAAGTTGGTACACTAAAATGTCCAGTCTGTCTCCGCTTCATTGCACCTCACATTCTGCAAATCAACGACGCTTTCTCCGATAACGTATTTTCGCAAATCACAAAAATAACAACTTTCCGAAAGCAGCATAAATTATTTAAAAGAAAGGAACTAAAATTCTTCTTCCTTATTCGTTTTTAACTTTGTCGATTGGTACGAAAATCCTCCGTGTCCATTTGTTGTCCAAATCCGTTTCGCAAATCCCTTTTCTATCCGCCCTACAAACACGGAGCTCCGAGACGAGCCAATGCGGTGGCCTGCGGTAAGTCCGACAGAAAGTTTCTTTCGTACTTTTGTGCGCGTGTGTGTCTATGATTGTGTCTATGTGTGCCTGTTGTCTGCATGTGTATGCGCACGCTGCTGGTGCCCGTGTAACGACCTGTACCTGCCCGCGTCTGCTCGCACTCGCGCTCTCAACACCGCTGAAGGCGAGCAATAAATAAAGATGAAAGAGATAAAGAAGAATGAAGTAGATGAGGAAAGAGACCGGAAGCGGAAAGTATGCGCGAAGCGAACAAGGACAAGGGGATAAGCGTAACGTTTCCAAACCGAAAGTCGGAGCTTCGAACGTACTCGGGTCGGACATCCCTACCCCGCACCGCCAACTAGGCCTAGTGATTTCCTTGTTTTCTTTTTGGAGAAGTATATATATATATATATATATATATATAAGCATATATATATATATATATATATATATATATATATATATATATATATATATATATATATATATATATATATATATATATATATATATATATATATATATATATATATATATATATATATATATATATATATATATATATATATATATATATATATATATATATATATATATATATATATATATATATATATATATATATATATATATATATATATATATATATATATATATATATATATATATATATATATATATATATATATATATATATATATATATATATATATATATATATATATATATATATATATATATATATATATATATATATATATATATATATATATATATATATATATATATATATATATATATATATATATATATATATATATATATATATATATATATATATACATATATATATATATATATATTTAGAGTTTATCACAAAGCTGCTTGACAGAGTTTTTAAGTACGAGCGATCTGTTTGATCTGACACAGAGGAAGGAAAACGGATGGAGAGAGCAAGAGAGAGAGAGAGAGGGAGAGGAAAGGGAGAAAAGGCGAAATCTTCAAAAACTTATCGGAACTTGATCGATTGACGTATAGCTTTTTCATTAGAAATCAATTAGACTGAACGGCCAACGTATTAACGTTTACGTAGGGTTATGTACAAAGTCGTAGGCGTATCGGGCACACTTTCTCTCGATTTTGTATACATCAAGCGTTGGACGAGAGAAAATACTACTCAAAGTTATCGTCCAAAGTAAAGTCAATTGAAATTTTCAATTTTTTTACATGATGTAACTTTCACCTCTGTTTGTGTCGAAAAGTTTTTGATAGAACTGAACACATTAAAGTTCTGCTATTGATAATTTAGAGATAAAATTTAGAAAAGTTTTAATATAAAAAGTAATGAGAAAAAAGTAAGCTAACATGAAACACATTTATAAGAAACAATAAATAAAAAATAAAGTAGAAGAAGAAAGAGAAAAAAAGTATATGGTGAGATATCGGATTGTTTTGAAAGAGAGAGAGAGAGAGAGAGAGAGAGAGAGAGAGAGAGAGAGAAATGTTAAGAAATTATTAATACACACACACTGACGAATAATACACACTATATAAAATATTTTGATCAAAGGGTTTTCAGTATTAATATTTTAATATTAATATTTTTCGTATTGATTTCGATTCTTGAATACTTTTTGCTGGATATTCAGTAATATCTTCGATGTTGAAGTACTGATGATAAATATAAACCACACACTCACTCTCTGGCACACTCCTTTGCGAGATCTATTAGAAAAGTATCATATCCCGGTATCCCATCCTCCCATCGCGCCTCTCGTTGTAATTAGTTTTCACTGTAATTAGTTACCGCGCATCGTAATGTCGAACGTCCACGTCGATGTTAAGAGAAGAAATGAAGCTTTTGTACTTGCGATCGATTATTCTTCCCGAGCTTCGCTCAGTCGAACGTACACAGTCGAAGGTATACAAGACGCGCGCGCGTGCGCGCCATACAAAAATATACGTATACAAATGATAAATGTAAAAGCGTACAAATGCACGTGTATAGATGCGTCATTAGAACCGGATGGCATCGGAGGATGACCTAGTATGTCGCAGAATTTTTATTTCTTCGCGACTCAGGTGTGACCTCGTCATAAGGAATTTACGAAACCAAGTACCGTGACCAATTTAATCGCTCACCCGTTGCTGATGTAGTGTTACATTATCAGATATTACATCGATATATCTTTTCCTTTCAAAATTGTCAGGGCGCTCATATTTTTACGTTTCGCGATAAGGAATCGCGCTTTCGGACGCAACAAGAAAGATTAAAACCTCACCACTTATCCTCAAATATAATGTTCCTGATTCACCGCATACCTCACCAATAAACGGTACGCAAATGACATTATCGTCATTTATTCGAGTATCAAACGTGAGTCGCGGAATCCTATCGGACAGATCGCTCGTAGCTCAGGTTCGTTGTGTTTATTATATAGTATATACATACAAACATATATATATATAAAATGTACGATATAATCATGAACAGTTGAAGTAGTAAAGCAAGTAAAACAGTGAGAGATGAGCGATATGAAGGAAACTTGAGGATACAGATAAATTTAAGCAATACATGCGCTTACACCACATACACATACGTACATGTACACACACTCTCTCTCTCTCTCTCTCTCTCTCTCTCTCTCTCTCTCTCTCTCTCTCTCTCTCT